CCTATCTCAACAGGAATGACTGCTTCGGTACCAAAGGCCAGGTGGTAGGGTGTTTCACCTATTTCAATTAATTATAACTTTAGAATGCGCTTTATGCGTTATGCATATTTGCTCTAAGGTAAGGCGTAACAGAAGAAGTAAAATGATATATAAATTAATCAAATAGATTTGGTTTAATGTAGTACCTGTGGCAGTTCGGCTCGTGGTTCTGTATGCCCAGAGGACGTTATTGAGCTCGTCTGCCCACTTGGCCTTATGCTGCTCCAATCTCGGCCTTATACCTTCCAGAATGCATTTGTTAACAGATTCAACCATGCCATTGGACTCCGGATGGTAAACGGAGGTGAACTGTAACTTGATCCCATAACTGGAGCAGAAATCTCGAAATGAGGAGCAGTTGAATTGAGTTCCATTATCAGCCACAATCTGATTTGGAATCCCATATCTGCAGATGATCGAACTGAAAACAAAGTCTTCAACTTTCTTAGAGGTAAGACTAGATAAAGGTCGAGCTTCAACCCACTTCGTGAAATAATCCACACCAACAATCAGATGGGTTACACCACCAACCCCTTTCACGAATGGGCCTAAAAGATCCAGTCCCCACTGAGCAAATGGCCACGGGGCTACCATGTTCGTGAGCTCTTCTGCTGGTTGATGAGTCAGATGTGCGAAGAATTGACATTTCTGGCATTTCTGAACAAAGTAAGTGGCATCTTTGTACATGTTTGGCCAGTAGTATCCCTGCCTTAAGACTTTGTGAGCCAGAGTCCTAGCACCGACATGGCTCCCACAGACACCCTCATGCACCTCTCGAAGTGCATATTCAGCTTCATAGGGGTTTAAACACCGTAGAAGAGGAAGTGAGAAAGATCTCTTGTACAGGACTCCATCAACAAGTGTATACCGAGATGCTTTCTTCCTCAATTTCATTGCCTCCTGCCTGTCCTCAGGTACTATCCCATCTCGTAGGAAGGAGACAATTGAATCAGTCCAGCTCGGTGCATCAGGGTTTGTGCTAATCTCCATCATCCGAGGTTTCGTGAAGCTTGGTTCATCTAGGACCTCTACAAAAACTGACCTGGAGCTTAAAGAGCTATCAGAGGCAAACTTGGAGAGTGAATCTGCCTGTTCGTTCTCAGCTCGGGGAATTTTACTCAGATAGAATTTCTGGAATTTGCACTTAAGCTCGGCCACCAAGGCTACATACTTCATCATCACAGGATCAACGACTTCGCAAATAGAGTTGATTTGGTTCACCACCAACTGGGAGTCACTGGGAGTCACTGTACACCCGAATTGCGCTGATTTTCAACTCTAACGCTAGTTGTAGACCAAGTAGCAGAGCTTCATACTCAGCCATATTATTTGTCGCATCAAAGTTGAACTTTAGGGCATGTTCGCTTCGGTATCCTTCTGGACCGATCAAGAGAGCGCCAGCCCCTGAACCCTTGCTACTAGAGGCTCCGTCAACATATAAGGTCCATTCGTTGAGTTCTGGAGTAGAGGTTGAGGGACATGGAGTGCATTCGACAATGAAATCTGCTAGTGCTTGAGCTCGGATGGTCGATCTCTGCTGAAACGTGATCTCAAATTCCCCCAGTTCTACTGCCCACTTAATTAATCTTCCAGAGCACTTTGGTTTCTGCAGAATCTGCCGGAGAGGTTGATCTGTAAGAACGATAATTGGGTGTGACTGGAAATATGGCCTCAATTTCCTGGCCGAAGTGACAACTGCTAAGGCTGCTTTCTCGGCTATAGGGTACCTCAGCTCTGCCCCGTGCAGTATACTGCTGATATAATAGATTGGTTTCTGCTGCTTGGCTTCCTCTCTCACCAGAACTGAACTAATGGCCTCATCTGAAATTCCCAGGTACAAGTAAAGAATCTCTCCATCTGCAGCCTTAGTCAACAGAGGTGGTGAGCTAAGATAAGACTTCAGCTCGTTGAATGCAA